TCGACAGCCTGTTCCAGTGCTTGACAACCTTTCAGTGAAAATGTTTTTCCTAATATCAAATCTAAACCTCTCCTGGCACAACATGAAGCCATTTCCTCTTGTCCTGTCGCTTATAGTTGATAGAAGAGGCTGATCCCCACCTTGCGACAACCTCCCTTCAGGGAGTTGTAGAGAGTGATAAGGTCCCTCCTGAGCCTCCTTTCCTCCAGGCTGAACACACACAGCTCCCTCATCCACTCCTTACAGGATTTGTGCTCCAGACCCTTCAACAGCTTTGTTACCCTTCTCTGGACATGTTCCAGCACCTCAGTGTCTTTCTTGAAGTGAAGGGCCCAGAACTGGACGCAGCACTCGAGGTGTGGCCTCATCAGTGGGACACTGGTACAGGGGGAGGATCACTGCCCTGGTCACACTGGCCACACTATTTCTGATACAGGCCAGGATGCCACCTGGCCTTCTTGGCCACTTGGGCACGCTGCTGGCTCATGTTCAGCCAGCTGTTGACTGGCACCCTCAGGTCCTTCTCTGATGAACAATTTTCCAGCTGCTCTTCCCCCAGTGTGTAGCACTGCATGGGGTTGTTGTGACCCAAGTGCAGGACAAGGCACTTGGTCTTGTTGAACCTCATACAATTGACCTCAACCCATCAATTCAGTCTTTCCAGATCCCTCTCCAGAGTCTTCCTACCCTCTAGCAGATCAACACTCCCACCTAACTAAGTGTTGTCTGTGAACTTACAGAGGATGCACTTGATCTCCTTGTCCAGATCATAGACCAAGATATTAAACAGGACTGATCTCAACACTGAGACCTGGGAAGCACCACTAATAACCAGACAGCAGCCAGATTTACCACACACTTTGGACTCTGCCTTCCAGCCATTTTTTTCTCTCGCTAATCCAAGCCATGAACAGCCAGTTTCTCCATAAGAATACTGTGGGAAATGAAGTTAAAGGCTTTACTAACGTCCAGGTAGACAGCATCCACAGACTTTCCCTCATCCATCAAGAGGATCACCTTGTTGTAGAAGGAGATCAGGTTGGTCAAACAGGACCTGCCTTTCATAAACCCAAGCTGGCTGGACTGGATTCCCTGGTGTCCTGCATGTGCAGTGCAATGGCACTCAAGATTATCTGCTCCATGACCTTCCCTGGTGCTGAGGTCAGGCTGACAGGCCTGTAGTTCCCCAAATCCTCCTTCTGACCTTTCTTTGCAGATGGATGTCACATTTTCTAACTTCCAGTCGTCTGGGACCTTTCCGGTTAACCCAGACTGCTGGTAAATGATGGAGAGTGTCTTGGTGAGCACTTCTGACAGTTCTGTCAGTACCTTTGGCTGGATTCTATGTGGCCCCATAGACTCGTGTCTAAATGGTGTAGTAGTTTGCTGACCATTTCCCCTTGGATTATGGGGGCTTCATTCTGATCCCCATCCCAGTCTTCCAGCTCACAAGGCTGGGTGCCCAGAGAGCAACTGGTCTTGCTAGTAAAGACTGATGCAAAGCAGGTATTCAGTACCTCAGCCTTCTCCTCATCCTTTCTCACTATGTTTCCCCCACATCCAATAAGAGATGAAGATCCTCTATAGCCCTCCTTTTGTTGTTAATATATTTCTAGAAACATTTTTATTGTCTTTTCCACCAGTAGCTAGATTAAGTTCTAACTGGGCTTTGACCCTTCCATTTTTCTCTCTGCATAACCTCACAACATCCTTGAAGCCCTCCTGAATTATCTGTCCCTTCTTCCAAAGGTGATACACTCTTATTCCTGAGTTAAAGCCAAAGTTCTCTGTTCAGCCAGGCTGATCTTCTTCCCTGCCGGTTTGTCTCTCAGCACATGGGAATGGCCTGCTTCTGCGCCTTTAAAATTCCTTCTTGTAGTGTGTCTACCTTTCCTTTGCCCTTCAGAACTGCCTGCTAAGCAACTCTCTCAACCAGTTTCCTAAACAGGCCAAAATCTGCCTTCTAGGAGTCCAAGGTAGCAGTTCTGCTGACTCCCCTCCTGACTTCTCCAAGAATCAGAAACTATCTTTTGTAATTGCTTTGCCCAAGATGGCCTCCAACCATCACATCACCCACCAGTCCTTCTCTGTTCAGAAAAGCAGGTCTGGTGGGCTGCCATCCCTAACTGCCTCATTCACCCGCTGTCCAATAGTTGTTGGACTATTGATCCTGCCGCTTTTCCAGGGGGAGAAGCCCATTGCATTTAGAGTTACATCATTACTATAATTTTTATCCAGTTATATTAAATCTTTCCTGTCACTGCTAGTGTGCTGATTTTATCATAGTTTCTCCTGTTTTTTTATAAATATGTGAAACCATGCTTACATGGGAGAAGAATAAAAACATTTCTGATAGTCTGTTGCCTTCTTAAAGCTCTGAAACCTCTGCTGCCCTAAAGGGGTCAAATCTCATAGGACATGCTATGTGATTTTAATGTAAAAAATAGAATATATTATTAGCCTTGGAGAGCCCAGTAGACTACTGTCTGGAACTCTAACAACTGTAGCACTTCTGATTTTGGGAAACGGTGTAAAGATGAGTTTCAAATTGACTTCCTATCTGCAGCAGACTGAATGGTGCATTGACAAACATCAATGGCCATATTTTTATCTCAGCTCAAATGTGAGCTACTGATGAAAACAAAAAAAATATCTAAACTGAAGAGTAATTTCTTTAGTGGCATGCCTTTCTGACAAAATCATCTTTTAAAGTAAAAAGGAAAAGATGTTGTGTTTGTCTTTGAAATGGATAACTTAAAAATTGAGAGAGTCTTGATCTCTGAAATGAGGGAAGATTTAAGGGTATGATTTGCAGTTCTGGTTTTAAGTAAACAGGAGTCCCAAATCAGAATTGTGTTTTGCAAACAAGATGAAAATGTATTATGCATTAGCTAATTTGTCAGGTCTTGTAGGGTTTTGTAAAGGGCAATGACACAAGAGTACAGCTGTTAGCTGCAACCTTAGCTGACCTTATCTGACAATTGTGAAAAGTACCAAATAACTGTGGAAAAGAAGAGCTCTCTATCGTAGTTATAAGTCCCGGCAGTTCCAGTAGCTTCAGTGAATTTCTACAGCTTTTGCAGGAACCTAACCTGGAATTAAGAGTCCAAGCCTCTGTGTTGGTGCAGGGCTGTTGATTCTGCTTCCAAGCCTCTGTGTTGGTGCAGGGCTGTTGATTCTGCTTCCA